AGTTCCCATCAGTCCTTGAAGCTGGACTTCAAGGTCCTTGGCCTTGCCCCTAACTCTGCTTGCCTCTTGCCCTTTGGGCTGGGGATCCACAGAAGAGGAGTCTTGTCTCCTGGAGTGGGCTCACCCTGAATTGCTGTCAGTGTCTTGTTGCTGGTCCTAATTGCTGGGCATGCCTGTCCATATCCTGATTGAGATCCTCACACACCATGCTAGACATGTCTTCTCTTCATCTCCTTGCTCCTTCCGTAGTCTCTCTTGAGGTTTATAAGAGGGGTCACATCTGTTTCCTGCTCACCTCCAATTACCAGCTAGCCATGAGGCACGCTCCTCCCTTCCAGTCTGCTCAGATCCTCTCTCCTTGCAGCTGCCTGGAGGAGCAGCTGTGGACCCCTGGGGTGGGAGGAAGCAGAGGAGCAACACATCATGCTTGTGTCAGAGAAGAGCAACCACATACTTCCCTGCTACATGGTCTTTTGGAGCTACACCATGCCTCAAAATCCAGCAGGTTTCCATATGATATCCATCTGGCACAAACTGTTCCCCTAAGGTGTAATTTGTGCTCAGGAAGGCACAGGAGATGACTAGAGAAATAATATAGCAGCTATAAATTGGTCTGAAAACAGTTGCTGGAAACAAGTAGAAAGGAGACAGAGTTTAACATCACTCTGGTGACTGCAAGAAGGTGCCATATAGCGGTTTCTCACCCCATAATATAAATCGCATTAATTTCTTGGATGATTATCAAAATGGAGCTAGAAACTTTTTAAAATTAAGAGGTAACTGTACCTCATGCCTTTGGGAAAGGAGAGGCAAAGGGCTGCCGAGTCTAAGCAATATAGCAGCATATTGCGTCTGTTCTCACAATGCCCCCATACCCTTCACGGTGTCACTTTGTGACAGGGAGTAGCTCCCTTGATAAATAGGGTTTATAATGCAGGGAACTTGAACAGGAGAGCAGTATCTCAAAGAACACAGCTGGACTTCATAGCAAGCACTAGGCACTCTGGGCAAATGCCCAGCATGGTGCTAAATCAATCCAAGAGAAGTAAATGTGGTGAGAAAATACTTCTCTTTGTACAACCTGCAGTGAGCAGGGCTTGGCCAACACATGAGACCCGCTCCTCTGTGGCCACCTGCACTTGTGCAGAGTGGATGTGAAGTGTGGACAGATGGTCAGTTGTGACAGTAGTATTTGACACCCTCCAGCTTTGTGCAGATGTAAATGCCTTCGCCAGACGTGAAGCTCTGTGATGATGCCCAGAGCAGGCAGTGGGTGTTTACGGTTCAATTGTGCTATCCCCTACACCTGTTTTACACTGGCACAGCTCCGGGAATCACTCCCAGATCACTGGCATGGGAGTGTGGGGGCAGGATCTGGGCCATCCAGCCTCCATGGATCATTCTGGTGTATCTGCTGTGCTCAGTGAAGGACACAGCACTCTCTTGGATAGTGGAAAGATTAAAGCACGATGTTACAATAGATACGAATGAGGGAGAATAAGAGCTGTGCTACAGCGTGATGTGAGGTATACATAGTGGTTATGTGGATGCAAGTGAGAGGAAAATGGGAAACTTTAGGCCAGGAGATTGCCATACATGCCCTGACTCCAAGCAGAGCATAAAGGGTGACTATTGCCCATAGGTATGTTACAGCACTCTTATTCAGAATCTTCCAAACAGTATTGAGCCTTAAGGCTTTGTGCTTCCCACTGGGAAGTTTTATACACATTTGGTGCAAGCAAAAACAACTCTACAAAATCTAGGAAACAGGCAAAGTGACTGTCTCCTGATGCTCCTTTATATCAACTTTGCTTGCAATTATCTGTGCAGATTATTTTCGACTAGAATCACAGCTGTGTTTTGGGTTGTTTTTTTTTCCCCCACTAGATTGTAGGTTTATTTATTTGATCCAATCTGAAATAGAAAGACAATGTTTTCTGTAGGATTTCTGCTTTACATAGAAGCTGAAAAGCATGCGCATCTTTGAGTAATGCAGGAAAATGATCTACATTCTCTTCATCCTAGAACCAGAACCCAACTGGGTATAGGGGAAAAAACAGGGAGAGTTGCCTCGTAATGAACAGTGGCTAAAGAAGGGGAATCCTTTGCATGTACAAAGCTGCACAAAATGCAGATAATCAACCCTATTTCTGTCACCAATCAGTAAATAGCGTTCTAGACTTTGTAGTTTTCCTACTACTTCTTGCTTCATGCATAAATTATTTTTCTTCTGTGCTTCCTGATGTATTATTTGAATGCCTGACATTTTAGGAATTACGTATGAGAGCCTAAAGGACACTGCGTTGAACGATGGAGTGAGGAGGGGGCAGAAGGAGGGTGTAAAACAGAGAAAGACCCAAGAGAGCATTTGAGGCACTGATGAACAGGATATTGAGAAGGTTTTATGAATTGCATTCAAATGTAACAGGAGGAAGAAGGGGAACAGCATGTTGATTTTAACAGAGAGGAGGAAGAAGTGAGGCACCTATGGAGTGTCTGGTCTTCCTGGGAACTGAGGCAGTGACTGCAGGAGGCCTGAGGAGCAACCTTTTCCTTTCCCTTCTCCTTGAGGCTGTCGGTGGTGCTATCTGAGACTCTGCCCTCCGGGCTGCTGGCTATTAATAACTGCGGGATGCCTGTGCGAGCAGCCTTCAGGAGTCAAATTCACAGCACTTCGCATCAGCACTTTGTGCTGGGCAGAGCCTGCCTGCGCCCAGGCACCCTGGGTGAGTGGGGCTGCTGGACAAGCCTCCCCAGCAGCACCCAGAGACCGGCTGGGAGGAAGCAGCCCACTGCCGAGCTCTGGGGCAGGCACGTGAGCTGGTCTGAGCCTGGCACTGCAAACCTGAGGTGAGTTCACTGGGCAGCAAAATAGTTTAGAACAGATGCTGGAGAGGGTGAAGACTGGTTAGATCTTTAATGACTGCTGCAAAGATAGATGCAGAAAAAGACAGAGGAATTGAACCAATGGATAGAGCTCAGGGGAGAAAAGGATAATTGTGGTCCTGGCTTTACATACAGGATAGTGGGGAGGATGGGGACTGAGGCTCCAGTAGCCTCCCCACAGTGGGATGGCTGAAAGAACAGTAGTCCCACTGCAGCTCTGGAGCCTATCCATAGTGAAAGTCTGCTGCCCCTTTCCTCATGCTAGACCAATTGCATGCACCAGGTTTTCCACTCCCCAATCCTGCTGGATTAGTAGATAAGGACAGCAGAATGGGATGGACTTGCCCTCGCTGCTCCTTGGGAAGGGGCGTGCTAGAGGAGCACGGTTTCCCACTGGGGCCAGCCCTTTCTGCCTTACCCCAGGGAGTCTACGTTTGGGGCATACAGGTGATTTCCCTCTATTTTGCCAGTCTTATGACCCATCAGATGGGCCATAACCTCCCACTCCCCCCGCCTTCTGGCAGCATTGCCCCTTTCCTGTCAAGCAGTGCCTGCTTCTTTTATATAGCCAAGCAGATGTCTGTCTGCTCGAGGAGAATGTGCAGCGCGTGCTTTACGGCTGCACCTGCTCACGCTTGCTTTGGGAATACACCAGGACAGGCTCTTTTATGATGTGAACTACATAGGCAACATCTCAGTAAAAATAAAAACTTGCAAATCTGAAAGAAAAACTAATGCAAGAGAGTATCTGCCAATGTGATTGGAATGGTTTGCCATGGCTGGGCTTCTTTTAGCAGTTATCATCACCTCATCACATGAAAATCATGCTGCAAAAGGAGCAATGATGGAATGAAACTGCAAAATATATAGGAGATAAAAATGTCTCCATCACAACAAGGGCAGTGTACAAACTCCTAGAGCCAGCTGTTTGCTTGCTAGTTTTAGAAAATAACTCATAGTTCAATGTTTTCAGTTCTGAAATTTTAAGCAACTGAAGTGCAGAGAAGCACAAGGACAGAGATGGTTAGTTATTGTCTGCTATTGCTGAAGCCAATGGGTCTTTGCTCATTTTCCTTTGTATTGCACTGTATTAGGTGAGGATCTATCCTTCTATATGCTGTTGTTTGGGTATGGACAGTGCTGAAATGAAGACAAGACATTTATTTGCCCTACTTACATTATGTATGATAACCCCAAGAAGGACTCTGAGAAGCTGTCTGACGTGGAATTGCTGAGATTTCTCCTAATTTTTCCTGACTTTGCAGTACAGACCTCTCATCCTATCTGGGGACAGAGATGGGGACCACTGTATCAGAAGAAACCTCCCTCTTACCCTCCTACCACCCCCCACAAATAATATGCGACAAGATCAATACACAAGATACAGGTGCAAGTGACTTCAAACAACCTGGGCAAACAACCTTTCCTTTAACAAGTTTGCCTGTGGCTTCTTCCTCCTGTCCTGTAACAAAACAGTAGCAGTCACAAAAGACAGAATTACTTAGGGGTTTGATTTGTTTCTTCTTTTTTTTTTTTTTTTCAGAACTTGCAGTCTAGGGGTTTTCTGAATACCTATTCTAATAGGACTATGTAAATATCCAAACCAAACTTGCACGTTATTCAAAACGCTCCCAAATAACTCATGGCCAGACCCAAAATCTTTATACAAAAATATATATTTCCATCTAATGATAACTGCATGGTATTATAATATGGTATGATAGAGCAAATTTTCAAACTGATGTTCTGTTACTGCAGCACAAGGTGGTAATGGAGTACCACTGTGGCACACGTGGGTGCTGGGAGACTGCTATGCTGCAACAAAAATGCCTAGTTTGGATGACAATGCTATATGGCACCTTGGCAATGCTTCTGCTGTGATCTGCTGCCATGTTTTGTGTCATAATGATAAATCTCCAGAGAACACCACAATGGCCTGCTGATGATGTTCTGTATGGGATGATATCATTTGGAAAAGAACCTGTGTGTGAAATGAAGGCTGTGTATCTCTTAAGTGTAGATGGCAACTGAAAGACAGGCAAGAAATACTTTTCCAGTGTTTCATTCTCCATTTCCTTGTGTGTTTAGAAGAAAGCAGAGAACCCTTCGTGGGAATGCCCCTTGCAGGGACTCCTGCTCCTGTTAAAAGGAAAAAGTCCACTAAGCTCATTGGGAAGCTGACACACGAAGGTAAGATATGCAAAACTGCACACGTGAGAATTGTTTGGATTTCAACCCGAATTTCAGCCTTTAAAATTTCACACCATCTGACTGAACTCCCAGAGCAAGACATGCAGTGAACATACCAGGAGGCAGAGCCACAAATCTTACTAAAGCTCAGCCTTCAACCACATCACATTTTCTAATTTACTATTCAAAAGCATTGCACGCACACTCAGGTCAAACACTGGCCTAGATTACACTTTATAAACCCATACTCTCCTGCAGCATTAATTTCGATGCACACCACTGGGAATGGAGAGGGAATATGATCTGTTATAGGTATGAATATTGCAGTGCCTAGTTATATTCTATGTTGTTCTCTCTCTTATAACCTTTGTCTCTAATTTGTTTTTCCTCTATGTCGGAGAGTTCCTTTGATTCCAGCACTCATTAGTTGAAAAAGTCAGTCTCTTAGAGGGAGTAATATAGCAGGAAGAATATAACTTGGGACACTTCTCTTTCTACAGAACACTCCTGTATTGGGTAGGACAACTTTTAATTAACTGTGATATCCTTATCTTCTCTTTACTTTTGACAGCATGGGGAAGGTTTTTAGAGGTTTTGAAAAGTAATAATTCAGTAATTTGTAAAGTAATAATTTCTACCCCCAAAAAAGGGCTGTAGAAACTTCTTTGCTAGGGTACAGGTATATATTTTTCTGTTTCTAAACCTTTATTCAAGTGAACAAGTAAGTAAAAATCCAATTTTCAGTTAAAGGATATTTCCTTCTGCGCTATGAAATAGTGCTATATAAAACTGGCTTGCTAAAAAAAACCACAATTCCTTCAGAGAATGTCTAATAAAATGAATAGGTTTGTATCAATTTTATACCAGTTTAAGGATGGAGATTCATTCTTACTGTAAATGAGATGTAGAGGTGTAAAAGTGGTCTTAACCTTGCTTAATATGGAAAAATGAAAGCCTAGGAAAAGACTCTTGTTTCTGAATGAAAAGCTTTAACTGCATTTCTGCAAGATTTTTACACTGAAAATATTTTAATCCATTGCTTTGATGGAGAATTGGTGGTACCAAATTAAACAGAAAAGGACTTATTGAGGAACCGGTGTATTAAGACTTGAAAGAACTTCAACTACTTTTCCCTTCAAAAATTCTCCTTAAAACAAACAAACAAAAGGATATAATAACATTGAATCTTGCCATGGTTTCAGGGTAATGTTTAAACCAAAGCATGCCAGAGTTGTCTTTATTTATCATATGTGAGCCCAATCTGAAGAGCTGACAGTCACTCATCTAATTCCAGAGGAGGGAAGGCAAGTGTAGGGCAGTAACCAGACGAGGCAGTGGTGCATTTCGTTGGCAGTACTAAGGAATCCTGCTGCTCTGACTGAGGTGCTTCAGATGTGGGACACATTCATCTAGCTTCACTCGTATGCAGCTCTTCCCTGTGCACATTTGCCTTGATTGCAGCCCAGAGTAAATCCCACCCATCTATATCCAAAGCATCATCAATGCAAAAATTTGGTGCATAGGTTATTTCCTAAAAACTTAATTTAGAAGAGAATTTGGCTGCTTTGAAGTTGCTACTGATGTTGGGAAGCAATGGACAAGAGACTTGCAACAGAGCACTTCCTAAAGTGTCCCATTTCATATGTTTTGTAGTCATGCCACAAGAGGTGTCCAAGCTGAACTTGGGGAAGAAGATCAGCATCCCCAGAGATGTGATGCTAGAAGAGCTTTCTCTCCTCACTAACAAAGGATCCAAGATGTTCAAATTACGTCAGCTGAGGGTGGAGAAGTTCATTTATGAGAATAACCCTGATGTCTTCACCGACAATTCTGTGGTATGTCAGAGATTAAAGCTAAAAAGCTGTTCCAGACACCCAGGGGAAACAGAAAAGGAGTATGCCCAAGGTCTCCTCTGTCTTTGTGTGCATGGGCTGGGGGTGAGTGGGATCTACTAGCAAAGAATTGTAGGAAAAAGCCAAAATTATATATACACACAAGTTTTATTTCCTTTCAGCAGCAGCATTAGTTTCCTTTGGCAAACAGTTGGTATCACATATGCAGAATTGTCGGGGGAGTTCCTGGCTACTACA